ATTTGGCTCATTGTGTGGAGTGAGTGTTGATAATTCATGGAGTCCCAGCCATCACTTGGACTGATGCTGGAAGCTAAAAGCAACCCTGCCTTTTAGACAGAATTGTGAAATACTGTTCTTTAGCTTATTAAAGCTGGAGCTTATTGACCACCGAGACTTATGACATTATTTTTAAGTAGTAAGTTTAGGCCTTATAATGTGCTTGAATTTTAAATTACATGCTAAGTTGGCTTATTTAGTAACGTAATTACTATTTCTTTCATCCTGCTTCCATTTCTGATAAATATTTGAAATGAGTATTTGACAGGTTCCTCTGCAGCTACCCAGTACACCTAAGGCCAAAATTTTTTGCCAGATTTGTTTCAATAGAGCAAGGCAGGAGACTGGTAAAAACGCTTGAAGCCTTTGTACTTTCTTGTAATTCTTTTGAAATGAATTTGTTGTGTGTTAAGATCTGCGGTTTTTATGTAGGAAAGGAAATTAATTTCTAGTTCTACTCACTGCTAACTTCAGTATTTTGGAAAGAGGTGTCCTCAGAGCTTTTTTCACATATTTAACTGCACAATCCCTTCATAAGCATAAAATGTTGGCTTATTTTATAATCGTCATAAGTGAGCGTTTCCCATTTTGTCAAAAGGGTGGAGTCAGTGTGCCCTGCTGGGTGCGGAGGCAGTGGATGATGTTACCCATGGTGCTTCCCACACCATGGCTGGGGCATGAACAAAGACTGACATGAGAAAAAGATAGTAAATAAGGTAACTTACTTTGGCTTTTCAAAAATGGCTGTGGGCCTCCTTCAGCTCCTGCACGTGGCTGGAGCCTGCGCTTTGCTTCACAGCAACCACCGCTTGGTCTCAAAGGTCAGAACTCGGTGTTGTCAGTGTTGTGAGTGAAGCTGTGCTGCTGCTGAACCCCCCAAGGCCTTTTTAACACCCATCGAGTCCTAGGGGTGTATTTAACACGGATACTGTTTCTTTATTTTATTATTTCTTTATGCTTCCAAACGTATCTTTTCGTCCTCTAAAGCCAAGCTGACTCTAAAAGCGATCCCTCCTCACTGTGCTAGCTCAGGCTTTTGTTCAGGACTCTGGCTCTGCTAATTGCAGCATTGCCACAGGCTGTGCAGAGTGCCAGGACCTGGGTGTTGGGTGTTTGCCCAGGTATCTGTGAAGAGCCAGAGGCTGTCGCCTGGGTAGGAAGAAAGTTGATTGCCTGGGATTCCTTCTCCTTTGGTCACAGCAGCCACTGGCCACAGCTCCTCCAGGAGCAGCAATGCCTGGTCAGGGAGGATGGTGCACAGGTCTGCTCTCTTAGAACCATATGGCAGGACATGGTGCCAGGTGGGTGTCCTAAATATCCTTTAAATGTGCAGGAGCATCCGGTTGGATCACGTAATGCAAAGCGGCTGGAGCAAGTCCCTGCAAACACAACCGGTGCTGGGAAATGGCTGGCTGAATTTGAGGGGAGGGGAATTAGCCCGTTCGACAAAACAGTTGTGGATTATTTTTTTTTAAGGCTGGCTTTGGCTACAGAATAACGCATAATGCTTGCTCAGCTCTTTGAGAATATAGAGTTAAATAAACATGAACTAATCCTCGCAAGAATGCATCCTGTGCTGGCTCTGCCTCCCCTGTAGCAGCTGCTGGCGAGGTCTGCTCCTAGGCCTTCCCTACTCATTAGCAAAACCCCTGCTCTAGCTTGGTTGTTTCATTTCTCTCTGATTTATTAATGCTGGGAGTATTGACTGAGAAGGGGTGTTGCCTTATGGGAGCATTGAAACTTCTCATAATAATAATAAAATGTATGAGCAAGAGCGCTGCTGGTGCAAACCTGAGTACCCTTAATGCCCACTAACGAAGTGATGTAGTGGGGCTTGGATCTTCGCCACGGCCAAAGCGGCTCTGGCTGTATGTGCCTGCTCACTTCTCCCTCCTCTTTCTTTCTCTGCCCCCTGGGAAACCCATCTTATGGCTCCCTGAGCTTCTGCCACGCAGTCATGGCTTACAAACGATTGTTTTGCCCTCACTTTGTGATCTTGTGGTGGATCAGCACTCTGAAATGGTCCAGCAAGGATGAGAGGGTGGGACCGGGGCACACACTGCTGTGTATCAGCTACCTCAGCCAGCAGTTGTGCGGATCACATCAGCCACAGCATTTTGGGGCTCCACGGGGTAGGTAAAGCTGAGGCACGTTAAAAGGTCACCAGGGGCTGGTGGTGGGGAGCATGCTCGCTGCCACGACGGTACGAATTTAACAGTCTAGCCTCAGAGGGCTTGAGCCAATCCTAAGAGAGTGTAAAATCAGTTTTAAAAGCAGCAAGGAGTACTGGTTTTGTGGGTTTTTTTTCTAGGTGGTTAAGTTGTTTTGAAACTAGCATCTGGACTGGTTGTGAAAGCTGTAGGCTGCTCGGTAAATATGCAGCCACAGTCCTAGAACAGGCTGTGAAATAGCTGTGATTCTTTCTGAGGAGTTCTTTGGAGGATTGTGCGGATCACATCAGCCACAGCATTTTGGGGCTCCACGGGGTAGGTAAAGCTGAGGCACGTTAAAAGGTCACCAGGGGCTGGTGGTGGGGAGCATGCTCGCTGCCACGACGGTACGAATTTAACAGTCTAGCCTCAGAGGGCTTGAGCCAATCCTAAGAGAGTGTAAAATCAGTTTTAAAAGCAGCAAGGAGTACTGGTTTTGTGGGTTTTTTTTCTAGGTGGTTAAGTTGTTTTGAAACTAGCATCTGGACTGGTTGTGAAAGCTGTAGGCTGCTCGGTAAATATGCAGCCACAGTCCTAGAACAGGCTGTGAAATAGCTGTGATTCTTTCTGAGGAGTTCTTTGGAGAAGAACAAGCGCTTCCATATCAATATATGGATCCCCTTGGATGCTTGTGTCAGGGAAATATGTAGGACAGTCACTGGGAGAACAAGCGCTCCATATCGATATATGGATCCCCTCGGATGCTCGTGTCAGGGAAATATGTAGGACAGTCACTGGGAGGAAAGCTGTGTCTGAGAAGGATCCCTTGCTTCGAGGACCTTGGATCTCTGCTCTATTAAAGCATTTTGCCATTCTTTCTGCTTTCACAGATGAAGGGCTGGCAAAGATTTCTCTAGATAATAGTGGACCTTAATTGTGTCCTTTCTCCTGTTGATATATGGGCTGTTTGGCGTGTTCCAGCTTGCACACAAACACGTGGTAGAGTTCCTCCTTCCTCCCTTGGAGATCGATGAAGCACAGGGGCTTTACGCTACCTGGAGAGGGCTGGGGGCTCACGTTGTTCCAGCTAATATGAAGGAGTGATACGTGTGTTGCAGGGAGAGTGCCAGAATCAAGGGTGAATGTTATTCTCGTTAGCAGTGCTAATTACCTCTCTTTCAGCACTGATGTTGAGTTCCCAGAACCCCAGCATCTGGGGACTCTGTTCTCTGAGTATCATCCCACTGTGCTAACTGGGAGTTGCTCTCTACCAGTTTATCAAGGGGAGCTGCAGAAAAAAGCTGGCTTATGTACCTTAAAAGAGAAATTTGGGAACAGAATGTGGATTTCATGGCTTAACCTGTGTTGTTTTTTTTTTTTTTCTTATGGGGAAGGTGGAAAAGGATGGTTCCAAATTTTTAGGAGAGCAATCAGCACATGGTTGTGAGCTGTCAAAGCACATCAAACTGGGATCGTTGCTGTGCCTACTCCTTTTGTGTGTCTTTGCCAGTTACAGAATGTATTATGGAGGTGATGCGAGCTTTGCATTGAAACTGTTCAAATGGCATATCCAGTTCAGGGGGAGTGTGTTTAAATCAGTTCCTTCACGAGTCTCTGAGCTTCAAAGCGAGAGCAGGGGAGAGCTGAGCATCCCTTTCAACAGGAGGGCGTACGCAAGCGCTGCTGCGTGCAGCTTTTCTTTATCACTCAGCATTTCCAAACCAAGATTTGAGCTTCTCTAAAATTGGGAAAAGAAAGCAAAAAGAAAAGCAAACAACTCTTTAAAGGAAGGGTGGATTTTTTCCCTTTGCATCTTGGTCTGGTTCTTTGACCTGGGACTGGGAGGGCTGGATGAGAGAGACAAAGCTGTGGATAGAGAACCGCAGGTGGCTCGTGAAAGGGAGCGGAGTCCTGCAGCTGCCCTGTCTCTGCCTTGTTTGCTCTGTGTGCTCAGTGTCTCGCCGAGGCCTTTGTCCTGCCTAAAGCCTGTTCTCGAGGTCTGGTCTTCATTCATGTGTCTGTGCTACAAATGCTTTTACAACCCCTTTAGTTCTTGCTTGCTGCTTTCCCTCTCGTACCTTGTTAAAAAAGACTGAAGACGTTGGAGCAAGTGTCCTGTACGTGGTTAGCAGGATTGTGGGGGTGATACTGTGAAAGAAAAGGATATTTGGGGATTTCTCTATTCGAACGCTCTCTGCTGGGCTGGAAAGCCAGCCCTGGTGGAGTTGAAATGAGGGGAAATGAAACTAGATCTCATTTCACCAGCACGTTAAACAAAATTAATATTTTAAAGAATGTGAATCCTCTGCTGTGTGTACTAACTGGCGGTGACGGGATTGTGTAAGAGGACTTTATAAATGTTCTTGTAGCACTGCTTCCTTTTTAAGCTGTTTGTTCAGTTCTGTTTTAAGAAAATGTTGGTCCTGCATAGTCGTTTGAAGAGCTCCATGCCTCATAAGGTACACTTGGCACATTGTTGGCTTATTTAATGCGGCATCCTGAGCATTTTGTGGAAGTGGTTGGTGCCACATGGTCCGTCACACGCAGCGTCACTGGTCCGTGCTGGCAGCGAGCGGGGGTGCGTTCAGATGTGGGGCTGGAGGGTGGGTCAGGCTGAGGAGTGAGCTCTGCTGATCCTGTGGGCAGCAGGGCTTCGAGGTGCTTCTCGGGATAATGTTGCCAGGTTTTGCTTCATCTCTCTTGGAAACTCATTCCGCTGGGAAAAACAACTCCAGTGATACTGAGAACCTCCTGCTGCTGAAACTGAGAATCTGTGCTTCGTCCTGCTTAATGTGCTTTCTTTCCTTGCAGGCGTGAATGACAGAGGAGGTGCCCCCGACTGCACTTACGGACGTAAACCTGCGTCTTCTCTGCCACGATGACATAGACACGGTGAAGCAGCTCTGTGGAGACTGGTTCCCAATAGAGTACGTTGCCGGTTTGGGGAGTGAGATGGCGGGGATTTAGAAACAAATGGCGTGTGATGCTGCAGTGGTCCAGTTCAGAGCTGACACCGAAGGCTCTGCAGCCATCTGGACTGTTGCTGGGGTAGCAGCAGGTTCTCAATCTTTTATGTACTGTGGTGGTGTTCCTGTTCATGGCCCTTAGGACCCAGCAAAAGTCATCAGAAAGTTCCTGTGTGCAGATTTTGGTAGAAAAATGGGCTTTGTAATTAAGGGGGTGGATCAGCCTCTTGGGAAAGGCTGTGTGTGAGGTGGGGAAAGGAGGACACCTCCAGGAAAAAAGGATAGCATCCCTGTGCTTGTGAAAGCACACTGTGTTTTGGAGCTTGCACCGAGAAAGTACCCTCAGATCTGAACCAAACTGACACAGAGCAGCTCTTCCTAAGGGACTGTCCTTCAGAATGTCCCAGGGAGAGACCAAACAGGACTTGCCTGCATACTCGGGATCAGTGTTGCTCCCAAAGCTCTGGCAAAGATCTGGCTTAAAGCTGATCTCAGTCTGTCCCAGGTCAGCTCCCCGTTCAGTAAACGCTTGTGTCTGCACAAGCGTGGGAATAAGGAGCTTTTTTGGGGGACAGTGATAACTCTCTGGCTTAAAGCAACTGGGAAAACTACAGCTGTAGACTTCAAGGATTATTTTTTTTTCTTTAGCTTTGTTGAGAAGGTTTATAGAGGATTTTAGTGGGTTATAATTAAGATTGCACAAAATGTAACAAACCAGCAAAAGCATTCATAATATTTTGAATTTGTAGATTTCTTTTAAACACAAGGCATGCTGAGCTCTGGCTTTGAAATAAATTAGCGTACGCTAGTTTCCATTTAGTAGCTGCAGAAGGGGGAGGAGAGCTGGAGGCTGGTGATGGGATTCAATTTTTATTTTTTTTGTAGCAGTATGCAGTATTTTTTTCACATGTGTATCAAATTAATGAGATCCTTTTGCTCTTAGATGAGGGCAGATGGATCTTGCATTTAAAAATAACTTGCTAAAGATGGAAGTGAGAGCTCTGGGCAATGAATGTAAAATGAAAATGTGGTTGTCTTAGCCAGGCAGGAGGCCATTACACGAGCAGCCTGCGTCCCTGCTTAGATGTAATTGCAAGAAACCATGTTACCAAGTGGGGTACAGCAGCTGTTTATGTTCATTGGTACCATACAACAGTTAAGACAGGAAAGGTGAATAACTTCTTAACCCAGATTTTACGGAATAAGCTAAATTAGTAGCGTAGAAGGAGCTTTAGGTTGACATATGGCTGAGCTACGTGGCTGTATGTCTCTGCAGAAGACAGCCTTTCCAGTAGCACAGCTTCCCTCCCTTAGTCTGATGTAAAATCCATTGGCCTGCACTTCCAGTGACTGGCATTTAAAGATGTTGCTGCCCATTTCCAGTTGTGCAGCGTCTTGGCTCTGTGTCCCCAAACGTTCCTGTTTTTCCTTCCTTCCCAGGTACCCTGACTCATGGTACCGAGATATCACTTCCAACAAGAAGTTCTTTTCCCTCGCAGCCACATATAGAGGCTCCATCGTGGGAATGATAGTGGCAGAGATCAAGAGCAGAACAAAGGTGCATAAAGAGGTACGATACTAAACCCCACTTCAGTGTGAGGCAGTCCCCCTCTTGCCATGGTTAACTGTGATGGAACCTCTTTGGGGTATTTTTCCCCTCCTCCATCCAGACATTTATAAGAGCAGTCCCGGGTTAATTTAAGAAACCAAGAACATGCTGATTTCCAGGTAATGGAGCATGGGTGGTGGGATGTGTCTGAACACGTGGGCAGCCTGGTACCACAGAGTCTCTTCCTGCTGGGGCCAGGCAGCTGTGACCCAACGGGAAGCTTACTGCCTGATGTGCTGTGCAGAGTCACCACATCACGTGGGTGTAATCCAGAAGTGACCGTGTAGCAGGGCATTTAACTGCTGCCTGGCTCTTTCCAGTCTGCCTGGTCATTGCTGGTGACTGAGGTACGTGCAGCTGCGGGAGAAGGAACCTCTTCCCTTCTTACGTAAGGGTTGAACTTCTTTAGTCACTCTTGGAACTTCCTGCAGAAGCTCCTTCGTTTGCATGGTCACTGTCTGGAATGCAAAGCAGAGGTAACCCATCTGCAGAAATCTCGGGCCTCAGGGATAACAGAGCTTGGAGGCCAGGAGAGACAACACAATAGAGCAGAGAGGTGAAGAAGAGATGGTCACTGGAGACAGGATGGGTTAGAGTAGGGAAAACAACATAGGCAACTGAATTAAAAATAAAGTCATGGGCAATGCAGAGAGTACATAACTTCTAAAAGGCCATCAGTGTTATAATTAAACAATAATCTTAACCTTCATAGGAACCGAGAGCACTGATTGGCATGGGTCTCTTCACTTTGGCTATCTGGCTTCACCTCAAGGCTAGTCGAAGTCAGAAACTGCATCTTCAGCAGCTCTAACAAAAGGCTCTTGTTCCAGCCCAGCTGAAAGCCAAGGGTTTATTCAGACACTGCTCCGGGAGACTGGGCCTGTAGAACATGCTCCTTGTCCCCTACAGCAGTACAGAGATCTCCAGCTGACACGAAGCTCAGATGGAGCATGTAGGCAATAAAGACTGTTGCTGGATTGATCCAGACACTGATGTGTAAGTCTAAAATTGGTGCTTTGAATCCTTCCTGGTAAAGAATGCAAATATATTCTGTCCCTAAAGCCCACAAATAATGTATATAGTAAGGAAACATCATGATTTGTATTCTGTGTCTGGGAAGATGCTATGAATGTAGGAATAACCCCTAAGGAATCAGGCTTGGGGTTTTTTTCCTCCCCACCTCCTTTCTAAAAAGCTTCAGCTAAGACTGTTCAATGAAGAGAAGTTTCCTGCTATAGCCTTGTTTTCAGATGTTCCAGTATGTATGGATTCTTGCCTTCTCCTTGTGCCTCCCCAGGTATCCTACTAAATAACTTGTTCTATCTCTACTCAGGATGGAGACATCCTAGCTTCCAATTTTCCTGTGGACACTCAAGTTGCTTACATCCTAAGTCTTGGAGTGGTGAAAGAGTTCAGAAAACATGGAATAGGTAAGATGCTGCTAAGTGACAACTCTGCTCTTGTTTGCCACATGTGGCTAGTGGGCATAACTGAAGGAGCCACACCATTTCACCACAATAATCTTTTCAGTCAAGCCTGTCAGTTATTTGCACCAGCAATTGGGAAGGTGAGGCACTCACATCCCCTTCTTGGTGTTAATGTGGGTGCACTGGGAGGTTTTTACCACTATAGGCACAACACAATGTGCAGATGTTTCTGAAGAATGTGAGGCTTTGTGTATCTTGTGCCCAGGGGACAGCTGAGCACACCAAAAACTTGCACTCCTGCTGCTGAGACGGGCTGAAAGTGCCAGGACTTCACCCTGGAGCAGGGTTTGAAGCCTGTCTGGTGGGGACAAAAGGGAGTATATACTCCCTGGCTTCCGATTATCTTTCATGGCTATCAGGAGCGTGGTCCCTGAGGCTTTGAACCTTTCAACTTCAAGAGATAGAACAAACATTAAGAAAACGACAAAGGGAACTGGAAAAAGAGCGTAGCTTGGGCCTGATTAAATCTCTCAAATGCATGTTAAAGTCAGCTCTGAATGTCTGCTACAACACTCAGCGGTTTTGCAGCCATTTGAAAATCCTGCAGTCAGAAGGGCTTATCTGTGTTTAGAGCAGGGTGTATTTTGTCATCACATAAATGCCTTTCTGGTGCAGTTTTCAAGCATGATATATATCTTTGGTCTGCAAAAGGCAACAGGCCAGGTTTGGCAGCATGACCCGGTGTTGCTCATCTGGGGTTATACAGGTATAATAACTTAATGTCTTCAAGTCCTCTCTTCTCCACCAGTTGTGTTTAGGAAGGTACAAAATGATAGGATACATAAAGAAATGACCAAAAGGGTCCTCAGTGGGAGCACTGTATTGAAAACTTGTGTTGAAATGCTACTGAAGATAAATTTCCAGAATAATGTTGAGAGAAGATGCTAAAGGGGTCTTCTGTTCCGTAAAATTGTGGTGGTTTTGAGTCTCGTTTTAGTTTCCAAATATTTTTTTTTTTTCCCCAGCTCCATCTTGCTGGAATTTTCTCCTTTCAGAATCGGTATTTCCTGTATCCTCTACATCTAGACAGTGGGTCGCTGTGCTCTCTCAAAACCTTTGGCTTCTACCTATAGCAAAACAACCTCAAGAAGCCGCTGCTGCTTTTTCTGAGACCTTTCTCTTGAGAGTTTTTCTGCTTGTGTTTGAAGCTGAAATCTTTTCATGCAGGAGGCTTTTCACCCCAGGCAGACTTTTAAGCGCTAAAGCTCTGATTTTTCTCTGGCAGCCATTAAAAGGCTTTGGTTTCTAGTTCTCCGCTGTTCTTAAACCGGAGAGGAGTTGGATTGCTGAGAGACAGAAGAGCAGAATATCTCATAACAAAACCAAACTGCTCTCCTGTTGATGATGTCTCTCAGAAGTATCAAGTGACGGTGAAGTCAGTGCTGTTGACTTCTGCTCTGAAACCCTGTGGGTCCTGCTCGAAGTCTTATGTGCTCTGGGAATTGTGAAACAGCAGGGTAAATCTCATCTGTATTTTGAATTAGCTAAGCTATTTCTTTCGTCTCTTGTTACCACACCTGATGGAAGAAGTTCCCCTGCAGGTTCTGCTGGGTCCTTCATGCCATGTTGAGGTGGCTTGGATGAACCTCCAGGTCTCCTCTCTTGGGGCTGGAGTACCCTCTGTGCCCGTCTCTGGTTTCTACTGCTGACTTTAGTGGCTGCAGCAAATCCAGGGTGAATGAGTCCAAGGCTCCCTTCCTTAGAAGGGCTCTTAAAATCCTACAGTTCCTTAGATTTTGAGTTCAGCAGACACGTGCAATAACCTGCTTGTGAAGTCCTGTTTTGACACTCTGCTGGCTTTAAAACGTGATGGGACTGATACCACTGAAAATGACTCCCTGACCTCCCCTAAAGCCAGGAGCTGCTGGGCTGGGGATGGGCGTTATGGGCAGGTTCCTGTCTGGCTCGTCTGTGTGGTTATTGAATCAGGAGTTGTGTCTTTATAAAATCTGTTCTGT